GGTCGAATGCCTGGAGAACGACAGCGGCAGTCATGGCACAAACGAAGCTTTGCCACATCGTCTTGTCGGGGAAATAGTATGAAATTTGCTGAACACAGTAAGTATAGAACAGGGTGGCATGCGGGCGTCACCAACTTCAAGGCTGAACAAGACGCCTCCAATCGGCGAACCGAAAGCCACCGAGATGCCAGACGCCGCCGCTGCAGACAACACCTCTCTCTTCCGAGCTGGAGCACTGTCAGAAATATGCTAGAAAAACGATGTAAGGGACGGCCAACCTTCGTTTTCGTTGATGTTGCTAAACAGCTTTATAAATAGGTTTGCGCAGCAGCAAGCAACATGGACAAGAGGTCCTTCTTTACCCAACCACATGCCAGACCCGACAGCGAGACACTATAGATCTTCGTGAGCGCGATTTCGTGCAGTGGGCACTAGATTGACATACCAGTCCCAGCGACTTGGTGATCAGGGTCCAGCTGCCGAGGAACCTTCTAATAATGAAACCGCCCAAGACCGTCTTGATTTCAGGAATACCGCTATGCTTGGCATAAATACCGTACTCTCTGACCAGTATAGCCGCTGCGCAAGCCAGAATGACCTAGAAAAAGAGTTAGCAGCGGCTCTTGACGCATCTGCCGAAACATCACCTACCGACAAAAACATGAAAAAGAAGTACTCTATGAACCACTTCCCGCCCGTGGAAGACACTCCCAGAGCCTTCGCCCAAGGCGTCCATCCGGCGCACTTGGAAAATTCATCGTAACCCCAGCAGCAAAACCCCTTGTTCAGGTAGAATGCGCCTCCTTCGGGGCCGCCCGAGCAGTACCCGGTCTTCAGATCGCCAAGCCAGTCCGTGGTGATGTCTATCCCAGCTGCGACAGCACCAACTGCCATGCCAGTCAGGATGAGAATAATCCAGACCTGACTGGAGTCGACGAGCTGCTGGAAGTAGCCCAGAAGGCCTTGCGCGCTCGCGTACAGGACGCGCAAGCGCTGGCGCTCCTTTGTGTATTCGAAAATCCAATCGATCGCCGTCAAGTCCTCGTATCCAACTCGTCGGCCCGGCCCCTCGACATACCAGTCCAACGGCGCGCCGTCTTTCGTCCCATGGGTCGTTGTCGCATTGCCGCCTGTCCTGCGCGGGGAGGTGAAGCCCGGTCGGCCAGCATCTTGGATCGGCGTTCGAACTCGCGGGGATGAGTGGGGGGAATCGGTGCCTGGTCGCGAACCGGTGATGGCGGAGAGAAAGCGCCCAGGCGTGGACAGCACGTTCTGCTTCTGCTTACGCTTAAAGGAAAGTGGCTCTTCTAGGTCTTCGCGGTCGCGGATGGGGTCTTCGGTGAGGACGTCGGCGATGTCCTCGTCTTCGCTCCAGAGTTCCAGCTCGTCTCGGTCGCCGGGGGGGCTGTTGCTATTGCTGTTGCTGTTACTATTGCTGCTGCTGCTGCCATTGTTCAGCGGTCGCGACGAGGACGAGGCCGAAGAATCATTGTTTGCGTGGCCGGTCATGTTGCGACTCTGAGGAACACCCGACTTCTCTTCAGTTCCTCGGAATGGCCATCTTGTTGTCGTTTCGCCTTTGTTGAAGGTCGCACCTTGCGCCTCTCTGCCAGATACCTGCTTAGTGACAAGCCGCGCGTGGCTGACTCGATATAGAAGCTCGGACCATTTTGCAGTCTTTCCTCCGGTGATCGCTTGCAGGGATGTTGATGTGCCGTGGAGAATGCTCCTTCGATCTGCTGGGTCAAATCTGCGCGGGGCATTTTTTCCACGAGAGTGTTGTTCTTCTGGTCTTGGCTTCGGGCAGCTTCTATTTGCAGATCGGTAGTCTGTTGACCGACATTCTCTGTTTAACGGGGAGCCCTACCAAAACGATTAACGGTTTTCATGAAAGAGGGCGCGGGCGTTGTCAGATGTTGACAATTGGAAATTACCCTAATCCGATTTACAACTCACTCAACTTACTCTACACTCGGCCTTATTGTTTGTAGAGAACACCAGGTCGTCCTTATTCGAACGGAATGGATCAAGACGCGTCTTCAGGATCTACGGATCCGCAGGCGACTGCCTCGCAGGCGTCTGACGCTCCGCAAGCAACACAGCAAACAGCCTCACTCGATCAGATTCAGACCATGCTGAAAGCCAAGGATGACACGTCGAGATTCGTAGGATTGGCGCTTCTCAAAAGCGTGCTTGACAACTCCGAAGGACTCAGGAATGACGCAGAGACGGTCTCCGTCCTCTGGGCGTGCGTCCCCCCCAAATTCCTCGACCGGCTAGTGAAGACGGGCTCGTCCGCCCAGTCGGCTCAGGCAGCAGACGCCAGAAACATGTTGGACCTGGCCGTCTCAGTCATACACACATTCACATCATTACTGCCTGACCAGGCAAAGAGAGACAAGAGGCTTGTCGGGAGGCTGCCCCTTCTTGTGTCAGGCTTGCTACGGAGGTGCGTCGACCAAAGACATTTTTCAGGGGGGAAAGTTGCAACGCTAACTCTCAAGGGGGCAGTTCTGGCGAGACATCTCGGCTGATTGTGCAGACCATTCTTGCACTTGTCGTCTTCCCAGAAGGCGCTCGGGTATTTTCAGAGATTGAGGACGTAAGCCCGCTGGTTGAGATTGCACCGAGTGACCCGGTGGCTCTTGAAATCTTTGCTTTCGCGTACATCAACTGCATGGACCTTGCCGAGGACAAAGTCGTCTTGAGCAAGAAAATCGACAGCACTGTCCAGGCCCTAGTCTCATCATTCAAGGGAACAGATGGAGTCACTTTGCTTGAATTCCTCGGCAAGTTTCTCCGAAATTCCGATGCAAAGGTAGGTCCTCCCCCCGAAAAGATACAGGCGGCTGACTTACACGCTCGCAGGCGCTCCCGTCGAATCCAACATGGATCAAGACTATCGTCAACTTCATCAAGACGTTGCTCACAAGCAGACCTACGCCCGAGGCTAGGAACGCCTACACCATCGCGGCAGCCTCCTTGCTCGAGGTCTATCACGAGGATGCGGCAAAGCTTCTCTTCACCAGCGACGTCAAAGACGACAAGCCTTTCTCCTACTTACTCATCACCCTCCTCCTGACTGACACGAGAGTGACCTTGCCACGACTGCTAGAACTTCTAAATGACCCAACCTACCCATCCGTCGCCCAGCGTATTGGCTCGGCGTTCGATGTCACTACACACTTTGTCGGCTACTTAGTGAGAAGCCTTGACGACGATCAGTCGCCAGGTGCGATGGTCATGCCCCCAGACTACCTGCTGAAGCTCCGAAGGACTATCTCGGAAGCCATGTCGTTGGCCATCGAGTTTCTTCGAGACAGGTGGGACGCGTCAGTGGCGGGCACGTTCGGCTTGCACCCCGACGCACGCACCAAAGAGACAGACACATCCACCGGGAAGAGGCTCACGATTTCTTGGGAGTCCAAGAAGGATAACGTCCACGAAGATCCTCTCATCCTGGCAGCTGTCAGGGCCTTGGCCATCTGGCTTCGCGAGGACGACAACGAGCTTCTGCGGAAAGAAGCCGCGGGACTCACAGACATGCTGGTCGACCTGTTCAAGTCCAGTTCTCCCTCTGGACTAGACTTCCGGTCACCCGTCCTGGTTGGTCTGGAAGGCATTCTCGTCGAGAAGGCAGGACTGGAGGAGTTCTCCACTCACGGTGGCTGGCAGGCCCTCACGGCCGACTTGATAGTCATCCTGCAGCACACCTCGACATTAGGCGATGAAATCGAGGCAGCCCGTGGGATCGAGATTGTGCGTGTTCTTCTGCCAATCGTGGAGGGCGAGGATGGCGGTGCGAGGGAGGACTGGATGGCCTACATCACTGCTGTCGCCGCCTGGGACGTTCCTGAGGCCGAACAGCCTCTTCTCGTTCAGGAGGCCCAGATTGCTGCCCTCCAGCTGGCAACAGCTCTGCTCGTGAGTGCTCATGAGGGCATGAGGAAGCGGTACGTACACTCTACGAGCGCCATTCTTGGCATAGCTGCGCGGTTACAGAGACATGTGGGCACCGGCCACCCGTTGAAGGAGTCCTTGGACGACGTCCTAGAAACCCTAGATAGATTCCGTTAGACGGCTGCGAAGAATGAGACCACCTGGTTTTCCTGCCTTCGCAACTATATTTCCTGTGTGCCTGAAGAATTTGAAATTGTATGAATCGAGGACGATACTTGAACACTGGGAAAACAGGGGTTTCCCCAAGAACATCGCTCCGAGGGAGAAAGACGTGAAAGGGGCGCCATTACTATGCGGCATTACTGCCATAGATCGGTACACATTCATTGCTGTTGGGCAATTGTGCAAATCAATGAGGATTATTGGCGTTCTAAACTTTTCTGCAAGATCACAACCGCCAAACGAAACGACAAACACTGGCCGAGACTCACGTATATTGATAGCAGCATACCTGTCAAACGTTGACATGATGTCGTCGTTACCCACCAGGCCCGAGTCCAGTTTTGCGCGCATCATCTAGATACAGGCCTGCACATGGCATGCTATTTGGGTCGACGCTCTCTTTCGTGGGATCATTCACCATCATTATTCCAGTCCTCTCACCGGTGCGCACACCGTACACTGTTACTGAGTTGTCCAGATGATAGCCTCGCCATTACAAAACCAAACCCCACGCCACACTTGGGTTGTGTAGATCCTCGACCAGTTCATGTTAGTCTCCATCACAGAGACACCAACAGCCACACATTGAAAATGGTCGAAAGCCAACAAGTCACACTGCAAGTGTATTCCTGATCAGGACGGAGGGTTGATGGGAATAAGATCTGATGGAGATATTGGCGGTAGCCGTTCTCATCTAGGGAGGTATCTGCGAGTGACCCGTTGCGGGCACATGCAGGCGGCTTCAAATGGTGAGCCTTAAGCTGCCATCCGACCACGTTTAACCCGAGAAGAAAGATGTGACAATACTCGTGGATGTCCTGGGTTGAAACCGACCTTCGTTGATGGTTTGAGAGGTTGCGGTTGCGTGGGATGCCCGGTTACGTAGAATCAATTGCTGCCCTGGGGGCGTGCGACTCGCGACTTGCCGCCGCTTCGTCAATCTTCTTCTGAGCAGCCTCAGCTTTGGCCCGCTTCTTTTGTGCCCGCCTGACCTCGATTTCCACATGCTTCATCTCAGCCTGGACAGAGACCAGACGAGGAATCACGTCCTGCACGGCCTTGACCGACAACGTTTGCGCCTGACGCAAAGGCATCGGCGCGAGGATGCCGAACCACCGAATAGGGTCGTTGCTCTTCTCCGTTGCCTTCGTAGCGTCCTTTGCTTTTTCAGTTGGCTCGACCTCGTCAGCCGGAGCCTCATCTTGGCCGTCGGGTTTCCGCTCGCCGACTGGAGCCTCCTGGGTCCCTGGGTTCGTTACATCTTCTGCAGGCTTGACAAGCTCGTAGCGAGGGACACCCTTGCTGTCGGCAGAGATGGAGAGGATTCTCGAAGCCTGCATGCGCTCGTCGTAGTAGTCCGGGCCGTATCTGACGCCCCTCTCTGCGGAGAAGTTGGCTCGTGCGATGTTCTGATACATGCCAGCCTGAGTCTTGCTGAGGAGCTCTCGCAGAATGGTATATTCATCCAGCAGGATGAGAAAGCGCTCCAGCAGCTGATCGATATGGTCCGTCTCCATGGTGTGTAACGCGGCACGGCGGCAGACGGGGGGTCCGGAAGCTGGGCCGGGGCGGATGTAGTTGGTGATATTGTGGCAGAAGGGCCGAGACGGCAACGGTGGGGTGCTGTAGTGTCCCACGAAAAAAACAAGGTGCACTTGAACGCGAGTGGCACGTACTCGTAGGGGTGAGTTGTCGTCAAAGTCGTAAATGGAGCGGTCTAACTCTAGGCAACGGTGATAAGGTATTCAGGGTAAGGTGGCTGCGCGAGGCGACGCATGAAGTTGAGGCAGCTGTATGTGGTAAGGAATTTGCGTGGCTTGAGCGATGATCTGCAAAGGAGGGACGGGCATGCAGGGGGGTGCCCTGAGCTAGCGACCCCAAGACCCGAGTCTGTGGCAGTCGTAGTGGTACTTGGCAGTTGATAAGCACCTGCTGATCCGACGGGTGTGTGCGAGCTGTCGACGAAGGTATCTGTACTTTCAGCTGTCCCGGGGCTGGCGAGAGCACCTGCCTGTCAACTGGCCGCAGGGCACATGCGATTGATTGTCCAAGGAGCTGCAACTTACACTACCTAGGTAGGTATTTCGAGATGTCGTTGGGCAAGCCCAACGGCAGGGCGGTCGTTCCGGGGCAATGGCGAGGATGGACAAACAAACCGAATGGGTGCAACACAACGGCAATCTGGTGCACAAAGATGAGGCGAAGTTCGAGGGGGTACGGCAAACAATCGGAACAAAGGCGGCCGGAACTGTCAAGTCCCCTTCCTTTTCCACTCCGAGCCGCAGCCCTCACGGGAACCCGTTGGGTCGTTTGTTCGGCTGGGTAGTTGTAATGCCATGGCTTTCGTTTTCATTCAGCGTGACTCTCCCGGCAAAGCTTCATGTTTCAGCCTCGACGACGCCCCGAGAGCGACTTGAACGGCTTGACATTGCACAACGATGAGAAATAACTGCAGGGGCATATAGATGCTGTCTGAAGGGAGCGGGACAATCATGAGATAACACTAACACCTCAGTGACGGTGAGAGCAAATAGACCAATAGCCCCTTAGGAGCTGTTCCCCGTCGTCAACGCCAATCCGTTGCGCACGAGCCGTGGACCATCCTTTTATGTCGGAGATCCCGGCATTCGATCACGTTGGACCCTGGGACGCAGCGGTACTGGGATTCCGGGAATGACGATGGGCGGAAAAAAGGCATGTAGACTGCTTAGCTTCCCCCAAGACGGTAGATTGGATTGCCCTTTCTGCGATGGAACATCGGGCTGGAGTAATAGGGCAAGACGATGCGAGACAGCAAGCCGAAGCCATTATGCCAGGTGCCGGAGTCATGGCTGGATGGAAGCATTGAAGAAGTCTGCGGGTATCCGTTGACCGGTCCCCCGTCTGGCTTATTCCCTGCTCCCGGGACCTGCCTCAAGTGCGTGTCGTCCAAATGACTTGCGAGGGGATCGTCTGCAGCGTGGCGCCCTCCGTCCCCAAATCTCTGGCGTGCCTTGTCCTTTGCTGTCTCGATTTCCCACGTTTTCTGTCACCAACGGCGACGAGTAATTGCGGCGGCAGGCGGCAGAAGGAAAGTTGCATAGGGGACGTGTCTCTAGCTGACACGACATGCCACAACCAGCAATTGGGATGGCGTGTCAATTTTGGCATTTTGTGTCAAGGCCGCTCGAGCCAGAGACAAAGAAAGGGTTGCTGAAGTATTTGCTGGATGAACCTAACGCACAGGCGCCTCGGGCGTAGCAAGTTGTCCTGACGCTGCCTGTGTGAGTAACCACTGCTGGCAACATGATGCTTAGCCAACGTCGAGGAAACCCGGCTTTCTTATTCTTCGGCAGGTGTTGACTGAAACAGCCCAGATAGTTCTCACGGTCAAGTGAATGAATAGGGAGGTTCAAGTATCGCTACCTGGCCAATCTTAAGGGTCGTGGGCCCCGTGGCGTATGGAGGTGCGGATACGCCCGGGTAAGGTAGGTCACCTTAAGCCGATGCACCGTTCCAGCATCGGTGCAGGGCAAGAGGCGTGGGACCCAGCGGGCCAGGATTTGCAGCGGCTTTGAAAGTAACACTCGGGACAATTGGCAAAGAGAACGGTCTGGATCCGGCGCTCCTGCCATCTCGATACACGGCCGCTGCAGGCCATGCGAGGCGGAAGAAGGCCGGCGGCGGTGGTGGTCAAACTTACGATTTTGCTCCGAGATGGGGAGGCCAGGATATGCATTGTGGCGGGAGCCGTCGGATGTTTACGTGAGAAAAAGGAAATGGCTAGAGTTTGGATTGGTAGATGGGAAAGAAATAAGCTTGCTGGACAAACTTGCGTTGATGTCCATCTGTAGGACCCCGAACTGCTCTGTGCATTCGGGGTTAGACGGGGAGGGAGAGAGAAGTGTGAAGGTGGGTGAGTGGTTTTGACTTTGGATGTTTGAAAAGAGACATCGAAATGACTTGAGAGAGAGGGTGTACTGCGTGGGAGCCAATTACACAACGGCATAGCCCTACTGAAGCGAGAACGGACTGGTGGTTCATCCTGCATCTAACGATGAATCCGCGGATAGAGAAGGATGCCTCCGACAAGAGATATCACGACCCGAGTTGAGAGTGATTGGGATGCACCGTGGCGGGCTGAGGTGACACAAGACGGCAATGGCAGGTGCAAGTGCAGTGGCAGATGCAGCGGGAGGTAAAAAGCAAAATGGGCCGCAAATTGGCTGGCGTGATGTCAGGAATGAGGTGCAGCTGTCGGTTCCGCTGCTTGTGCTTTGCTCTCTCTGCCTGTGCTCGTGCTCGTGCTCTTGCTTGTGCTTGATGCTTGAGCTGCATGTGCATACCATAATGACACCTAAAGGTATCTGTAGGTTGGTAGATAGATGTTGGGCGTTGGAGCTGAGGTGGTGGTGTTGGGAGCTGGCGGTGCACCTGCTTGGTTGGGTCTTGCTACAGAAGAAGCTTGGACTGCACTGCTCTGGAATTGGGCGGTGTCCAGTGTCGTCCTGGACCCACTGTACCGTGGGAACCGGTACGTACCGCCAGATATGCACATGCATTTTGCGTGTTAAAGTCGCAGCGCTGCATGGAGTGGAGAGACCATCCCCAATTTACGCAGGACGAGGGTCCTTGGGTCGCGGTCTTGAGATGCAGCACCACTTGGCACTCCATGTACGTACGAACAGCCACTCTGCCGACAGATGACACCCAATGTCACCACAAACTGCGAAGTGCGTAGGGGTAGCCGCCAGCCTCGAGTGGCCGGGCCTGGCGCCATGGTTATCGGAATGAGCCCGGCTCACGATCTTCTTTTCTGCTGTACGAAGTACTCCAAGCCAGCAGATCCAGCGTCCCGCTTAAACCAAAGACGAGGGACCGGTCCACTCTTTACGGGTAGCAAAAGTGGTTGGTGAGGGCGGTGAGCAAAGAAAGAGGAGGTCAACGAAAACAAGCTACGAGTGCCCCGCGTCCGACCCCGAGCGAGACGGAACCACCAAGCCGAACCCAAGACTCGACCAACTCACCTCATCACCATGGTGGTGGAGATGTCAAATACGCAGTGCCAATGACAGGGACGACACCCCATATGCGTGCCTCAGTCTTGGGCGGCTGTTTGCCCTCCCGTCCATGCTGCTGCATCTCGGGCAAGACTGGACGAGCGAGAGGAGGGACCATCCGGGCATTGGCTACTGGGACTGACTGGCAATGTCTTGTCCGTCTCGTACGGGTCTACGTACCCCTTGGACGCAGGCCAGCCCAGGCGTGATGGTTCGCTGAGGTTGATGGGAACCCCCCAGTCCAAACTCCAAACTCCAAAGGCGGTGCTTGGTTTGCCCTGGGCTCTGCTTCGTCGACCTTCCGGGGTTGGGCCATGCCGTCCAGCTCGCAGCTAATACTGCACCAACAGGCCGTCCCAAGTACCCGAGAGCCACTGGCCAGGCGCCATCCATCCCTTTGGAACAGTGAACTCCCGTCCAAGGGCGGGCGCCAATCCCAAAACTTGCAAGATTCAGCCTTGCAAAACCCCCCCTTCCCACGCCTCCCCTCGTCCCCCGAATCACCGACCTGTTCTGTCAAAGGTATTCGTGATGAGAGGAGTGTGGGCTTCTTTCCCCCTTTCCAGATCGCATGTGTTGTATGTGTGTCCAAGGCGAGGTAAGATAGGTTGATAGGTTGTCATCTTTAGCCTCTGAGAAGGGCCTGCAACATCTGGACCGCCTGGGTATCTGTAGATTGCCATTCATGGATCTCATTTACGTTGCTTTCCGGAACGAAGCTGGCATGCTCCTGTCTACCAAGCGCGAGTTTGGCCATGGCCACTGGACAATGACTTAGTACCACTATTCGTGCTACTGCAGCCGCTGCCTGCCTCCGTAGATGGGACCAAAATTTGCGTGCGTGCCATGATCAACAGCAACCTCAGAGGGAACCTTTAATTTTCTCTTTTCTTTTTCAATCCTCGACTACCTTTATTTTATTTGGCACAACCAACACAAGCCTCGCGGTGCAAGGTACTGTTCCTGCAGCCGCCCATCGTGTCTACTAATTACCGGTTTGCGTGCGGAATCTTTTCCCTCTTTTTTTTGTTTTTTTTTTTCTTCTCTTTTCTTATTTTCTGCCCCTCGATCCCCTGCCGTCGCAGGTACTTGTTGTCTGTCCAGGTATTCGTAGTCCATGGTGCTTTCCTTCCCTGACGGAACACCTCGCACTCCAAGCGTTCAGGTCCTCAGGCTGCCGGTCGTCACCCAGAAAACTTATTTCATTATTCATTTTTGCCCGCTCCTCGCCTCTGGCTTTCCACCCCCAAGGTGACCCCTTTCCCCCCTTCTATTACCTTACCTACCTACTTCCAGGTCGGGCCTGCTGTTCCACTTTCCCGCGTGTGTGTCGAGACCGCCCGGCGCCATCGCTGCTAAAAAAGAACACAAAAAAATCCCCGACGACATCTCACTTGCAACCTTGGTTGGGACGGGCCCCCCATCCACCCATTCACCTATTCATCACCATTCGCCAGTGTCACCTCTTGCCTTTTTTT